CGCCAGAGGCCTCCAAGACGGCCCAAGAGCCCTCCAAGACGTCCTCCAGGAGGCCCGAAAGCTCGGAAACCACCTGGTCCGATAGCTCGCCCGTCTCCGTGTTCCCCGAAGGCTATCCAAACCCACTCGGGGAACGCGTGGCCCGATAGCTTGACCAAGCTGAAACCCAACTTTCGGCCACGCAGGCGCTTCCAAAAAGGCAGGGGGCGGCGGTGATTCGCCGTAGGCGTCTTCGATCCGCCACTCCCTGTTGATTCATCACAGGGGTGTCTTCGGTTTTTGAAGGATGTTTTGGCATGTTCGTCTTTTCAGCTCTCCGACGGCCGAAGACGGCCGAAGAGGCCTCCAACATCACCCCACGAGCGCACAGGAGGCCTCCAAGATGGCCCCAGGACATCCCAAGAGACTCGAGAGGGCCCCAACAAGACCCCAAGACGACCCAAGATGGCCCCGGAGACGCCGAAGATGGCCTCCAAGACGGCCGAGATGGCCTCCAAGAAGACGGCCAAGAAGGCCTCCAAGACGGCGAAGATGGCCCCAAGATGCACCCGAGACGGCCCCAAGTGGCCTGAAGATGGCCTTAGACTGCCCAAAAAGCCTGCCAGAGGCCTCCAAGACGGCCCAAGAGCCCTCCAAGACGTCCTCCAGGAAACCCGAAAGCTCGGAAACCACCTGGTCCGATAGCTCGCCCGACCCCGTGTTCCCCGAAGGCTATCCAAACCCACTCGGGGAACGCGTGGCCCGATAGCTTGGCCACGCTGAAACCCAACGCTCGGCCACGCAAGCACTTCCAAGAAGGCAGGGGGCGGCGGTGATTCGCCGTAGGCGTCTTCGATCCGCCTCCCCCTGTTGGCTTGCCCCAGGGGTGCCCGGCTTGCGGAACACTTTCGTCTTTGGTTCTGGTTCTTGTTCCTCTTGTTCCCAATGAGCTCTCCCCTGGGGCTTCGGCCCGTCCCGCCAGCTACCCAGAAGGACCCGGAAGGGTGCTCAAACTGCCCGGGTGGTTGCCCCAGGAGCCTTGAAGACGGCCAAGATGGCCCAAAATGGCCTCCAAGATGCCCCCAAGACAGCCAAGATGGCCTCCAAGACGGCCCAAGAGGGTCCAAGATACTTCCAAGTCCGCCCAAGAAGCCTCCAAGACGGCCCAAGACTGCCCAAGATGTGCCCAAGAGGGCTCCAAGACGGCCCCAGAGGCCTACGAGAGGTCCTCCAGGAAGGAGGGCCCGAAGAGGCAAAAATCATTTCTTTCCCGAAGGTTTTTGACAGATTTTCGTATTTGCTTTTTGTTCGGCCTTCCGACAGCCCAAGACGGCCCAAGAGACCCCCTAAGATCGCCCCCAGAGCGCCCAAGAGGCCTCCAAGATGGCCTCAGGCCCAAGACGGCCCCAAGAGGGCCCCAAGACGGCCCAAGAGGCCCCGAAGCCGCCCCAGAAAGCCTCCAAGACTGCCCTGAAGCATTCCAAGAGGACCCCAAGTCGGCCCAGAGAGGCCCCCAAGACGGCTTCCGACGGCGTCAGGCGGGCCAGGAGCCCACCAAGACGGCCGAAGATGGCCCTGAGATGGCCCAAGACGGCCCAAGAGGGCACGAAGAGGCCGCAATCATTGATTGTCCTTCGGTTTTTGAAGGGTTACGGCATTTGCTTCTTTTCGGCCTTCCCTCCTCCTCCTCGTCCTCCTCCCCCTCCTCCTCCACCTCCTCCTCCTCCGCCTGCTCCTGATCTTCCGCGCCATTATCCCCCAAGTGTTCCCCGAAGGGTTTCCACAACGATTGGGGGAACACATGGTCCGATAGCTTGGCAGAGCTCTAGCAACAACGCTCGACCACGTGGGCGATTCTAGAGAAGGTAGGGTGCGGCGGTGATTCGCCGTAGGAGCGTCTTTGACATGATTGCTAGTGCTCGTATTCTTAGTTTTCGTCTTCTTCTTCGTGTGACTGCTCTTCTGATTAAGACTACTGACTACTCTTAGGTCGGGCATGTCCCCCTCCAGGCGGACTTTGGACGAACAATCAAAAATAGTCAAAAAATAACCAGACAGAGTCAACCATTTAAATATCGTCTCCAGACTATATTTTTTTCTGACTATCTTTGAATATTCCCCCTGTAGAGGGACGTGCCCGACTTAAGACATGGTCGCAGGCCGCCGCCCCGCGGCGCGCCGCGCGGCGAGCCGGGCGCGCTTCTTGCGCGCGAGAGCTCTATCGCGGGTAGCCCACGCCCGTGGCTGTAGGGCCTAGAGCTGGGAAGCACGGAGAAATCACTCCTGGGAGCTGCCCCTGGGGGGCCCGGAATTTGGACGCCCGAGACCCAGAGATCCAACGCTTTGAAAAAGTCAAGACCGAGGTGTTTCGCGATGTTCGGTCTCTAGGGGCCCTCGCTGGGCCCTGGGGACGTAACAAAAACGACTCATGAGAAAAACCGGTCCTGGGAAATGTGTCGAGACTTCCGCGGACAGCGTTTGAACAAAAACACGACATCGGATCTCTGGGAATGGGTACGACAAAAATGTACAATGCCCAATGACAGATGTTGTCCTGCTGTTGGCTGTTCAAGATGAACAAGAACTGCTGTCGGTCTTTACGCACAATTTTTCCGTACCCATGCCGATCGTCTCGACTCAAGATGCTCCCTGAGGCTGCCTGGGAGCGGGAAGGTACTCCCAGGAGCCGCCTGGGAGGCCGCATCGACACGGAGCCGGATCGACACGGAGCCGGAGCCGAATCGGACTGGTCGCGCCAGGGTGCACGTCAGCGCCACGCGAGCATCGGGCTGCATCGGGTGGTCGGAAAGACGGAATCGAATCGGATCGAGCCGACCGAAATGGATATGGAATCGGACCGATCGGATCGAAATGAACCCCTCGGGGCCCTTCAAAAAACGCAAAGGGCGTGTTGGAAGGGTCTTGTCCAAGAGGCAGGGACACATTCCAGAGAAGGGCCTGTACCCTGCTCGCAGGCCTCCAGGACCTTGTTCGGAGGACCTCGTCGGGGCCAGGATGGCTTCTGAGATGGAGGGCAAGAAAACAATGATGATGATGACCAAAACTGAACGCGGAAACGTCGGTGTTGATCTAGGTCATCGCGCATCGAGACAATCGTCAGGTCGTGGATCATCCTCGCCAATCGGTGACGGGGGACGTGGAAGATGACTGATATCGGCATCGACAAAATCCCGCAACGTCTTTTTCGTGGTCATCGTGTTGCTTCCCTCGAGGTCTCCAGAAACTCCCGCGGAGGCCTCCGAAGGTCCAAGGGGCGCGGGAGGCTCCCACGGAGGCCTCCAGAGGCCCCCCAAAGTGTGCAGACTGGAACCACCCATCTCGTGGGAAGACGAAGCTAGGACGAGCATAATATCTGGTGGGGACAAACAGACTTTGAGTCGATAATCTCTCTGGCCTGGTGGTTCTGGAGAATGTATCGAGCGCCGGGGCCTTCTCAGAGCGTTCTGGAATACTCTGGAACGGATTTATCCTCGCCCTCGCCCCGTCCGACTCGTGGTGCCCTGGCCGCTCGGCAGCCAAGACGCTGGCAGCTCACGCGGCCGGATCCACGTGCCGGAGCACGCGGAGGCCGTGCGCTGCAGCTACACCCAATCGGGGGCCTGGCGCACACCGCCTCAGGGGGATGGGCGCTGACGGGTTCAAGAATTGGCGACTCCGAAGGGTATGGTTTGCAAGGGGTGTGGCTTGCAACCCATACCCTGAGGGGCCGGGCGAGGACTTGACAGAGTTCTCCGCCACACCCCGAGGAGGCCCGAACGAGGTCAAGGTGGTGCCCCAAGTCCCAAGCGACGCAGATCGCAAACACACCCCAGCGTAACCACACGCTTTGCAGTCGCCGAAGACACCGTGAAACAAAAAACCTTGCCATCTCTTGGGAGGCCGGCTTTCGCTTCCGCCGCCTGCCGCATTCCGCTGGCGGAGGCGGCCTCATTCTGCTTTCACCAGCTTCCGCCGACTGTCCGCCGCCTGCTTTCACCAGGCTTGGCTCAATTACCAACATCCGTCGGCAACATGAGGCCAAAACGGCCTGCGGCCTCAGACGACCGCTACCTGGCACAAGTGCGCAGCTGGTGATAAACAAGACAGTCGCCGCCGAGATCGAGAGCGGACTCGACAGCATCGCCTCGCCAATCATAAGAGGGAAGACATGTATTTTACATATTAGCCTGGCGAAGGGCCCAACCCAGATTAGCTGTCAGTAGAGCAGAGCATGAACCTATCCTGATCGGCAATGCGCCACGGAAGGGGGAGAGCAAATGCGATACCCTGCCGCTGAGGCCTTTGGTGGAGCTCCCAGCGGGGTAACGAAACGCGTGAGAGGTGCGCCGAAATTAGCAAAGGGACTGCTTTCAATACACTGCCGCTGAGGTCGGCTTCGGTTGAGCACCTTATGGGTCAAGAACTGTGTGAAGGGTGTGCCGAAGTGGGCGTGGGGACACCACGCAGTACCTTGCCACTAAAGCCTTCGGTGGAGCACCCCGCGGGGCTGAAGGGCGTGTCAGAATAATTAGGTGGGCGTACGCTGTGCGGCGCCTTTTCGCTGAAGCCTTCGGTGGAGCTCCTGGTGGGGCCACAAAACCGAAATGGGCCTGGGGGCACTGTGCGGCACCCTGCCACGGAGGCCTTCGGTAGAAATCCTCACGGTCAACAGAACATGAGAGGGGTGCACCAGAATGGACAGGGGCACGCTGGGCGGCAACAACACGTGGGGGGCTCGGTGGAACTCCCTGCGCGGCCGCGGAGCGTGTGAGGGGTGTACCGAAATTCGCGGGGGGACCGCATGCGACACTAACCCCATGGAGCTCTGGTGGAGCTCCCGATGGAACCACAAGCCGTGTGAAGGATGTGCCGAGATGACCACGCGGAGGGCAGAAACGCGAGGGAAGAAGGGGCGGCGGTGAGGAGGATGCGGGGCGGTTCGGACTCAAAGTGAGGACCCAACACGACTGGAAAATTGGAACACACAAGAAACTCCTCTCCTCTTCCGCGCGCCGCCAGTCCTCGACCGGAATCTCTGGCGCGTCCTGGACCGACACTGGCTCCGACCTCGGCTGCAGGGGCAAACGCACACACATAGACACACACACACAGACACACGCACATACGGACACTCACACGACGTTTTGGTCGGCGGGCCGCTGGGTGACTCGACTGGCCAGCCACGCACGCAAACACCCTTTTCCGCAGGCAACTGCGCGCGAGGCGACACAGCGGCACCAGTAGTGGCCATGCGCCTGAGAAATGCCAACTCCGCCGACCCATTCGGCGAGTGTGAGACGCTGTCGTTGTCTTCGCCGTCGTCGCCAGTTCCAAGGAAATCTAGAAACGAACAGAGATCAGAAACGTCGTGAAAGAAACGCCGTAGTTACGCCGATTCCCTTCTCTTTTCCCCTCCCTGACGATGGGGGGGGGAAGGGAAGGGTCCCGGGTCAGATTGCAGACCCCCCGCGAGGACCCGGCGGGGCGGCCCTCCGTCCCCTCCCCGGGGCGGCCCCCCATGGAAAAGGGGGACAGGTGGGTGGTCTCTCTGTCGGTACGGACCCCTCCCCCGGCCTCGGCACCAGTCCCGGGCCCGGGCCCCATGGCCCTGGCCCCGGCCCCCGGCTCTGGACCCCGGCCCCGCCGGCCCTGGCCCCGGCCTCAGCCCCAGGCCCCGGCCTCGGTCCAGGCTCTGGCCCCTCCTGGCCCCAGCCCCCGCCCCCCGGCCCCGGCCCCGGCCCCACAGCCCCTCCGTTTCCCAGACGCCCATCCACGAGGAGACACACAGCTCTCCTCCTCCTCCTCCTCCTCCTCCCTTTCCTCCTCCTCCTCCTCCTCCTCCTCCTCCTCCTCATTGTCGTCGTCGTGGTCTTCGTCGTCGTTTTGGGTCGAAGGCTTTCACACACGCGCGCGCACGCTCACGACTTCCCTCCTCCGGAGATGTGCGGCACTGTCGCGCCGCATACTGACGGGAGGCGCAAACAATGAATTGCGCCCGCGCGTGCGGCGAACACGCTCGAGCGTAGCCGTGCTGTCCTGGCGACAAGCAAGCTGAGCGAGCGGAAAGATCGAAAAGGCAAGGGTACAGAGAGCTCGCGCGCACACAAACACACATGCACACACGTTTTCTTCGACGCACCAGTGAGGTCCAACGATCGGTAACATCAACCATGGGCAAGGGGCACGACAATGACCCATCTTTGTGGAACCGTGGCGGGCCTTGAATATCCCAACGCGAAACGGGCATCGTCGACCGCAGGGCACGCACATACACTTCTCTTCCGACGCGCCGCTGGATCATGAATGGCGGCGAACGGCATCGCAGGCGAAACGCGCCCAGCAACAATTATCAGCATTTTCGTGGACTCGTGCAAAAAAAAAACGTGTGCACCGAACCGCGGCGGCTGCGGTCGGGGCCGAAGCAGGGCAAGCGGAGAGGAAACAAGAGGGCACACACACGTGCAGAGGCACACACACGCACACCAACACACACACACGCACACCAACACACACACACACCAACACGCACACATACTTTGGCGGTCGCGGCGCGGCCTCGCGGGCAGCGGCGGGGCGGAGCAAGTCGAGCAAACAGCACCGGGCTAACGTGCGCGGCCCGGCCCTCTGACGCGGGACCCCTCTTCGGCGGCGAGCCCGGGGGGGGAGTGAGAAGGGGCGGGCCTTCCCCGAAGGCTGGAAGTCCCCCGGCCTTCTGATCAGTTTTCTAAGCCTCCCCCGAAGACACGAAGAACATCTCATCATAAGGCCGGAGCGCTCCCGAGAAGCCCCGCCCCGTCTTCTGAGAAGGCCTTCGCCTTCTCACTCCCCCCCGTCGCTCGCCGCCGAACTCTGGATCGAAGGCAGAGACGACGGCACGAGAGCGGCGATGACGGGCGTCATGGGGGGGGGGAGGGGGGGCGAGGGGGGGTATGACGTAACGCCCCCCCCCCGCCGTGTGGCTCCAGCACCGCAGCCGCGCCCGCGCGCGCGACGCGACGAGCGACGAGCGACGAGCGACGATGACGACGACGACGACGCGAGCAGCATGTAGGTGGCGATATGCCCCACTGCGCCTGTGTACGCCGCAGCGCTCGCTTGCAGCACAGCGCGCGCGTGTATACCACAGCGCCTGCGCGCACCGCAACAACCGTGTGCAACGCAGCGCCTGTGTACACCACAGTGCTTGCGTACACTACACCTTCGGTGTACATGTGTGCACCGCAGCTACCATGTGCAACGCAGCGACTGTGTACACCACAGTGCTTGCGTGCGCCGCAGCGCCTGTGCACGCCACAGCGCGTGTCTACACCACAACATCCGCGTGCAACGCAGCGCTGGTGTACACCACAATGCTTGCGTGCATAGGACAGGTAGAAGGAGCATGTATCTGAGGATCTGCTGCGGACAACTAGATGCCACGCCAGGAAAGCGTTGAGAATCGAATGCAAAGTTCTTCCCCCCCTCCTCCTCCTTCTCCTCCTCTCCACCTCCGCCACCTCCTCCTCCTCCTCATCTTACTCCTCCTTCTTCTCCTCCTCCTCCTCATCCTCCTCCCTCCTCCTCCTCCTTACCCCCTGTTGTGCGGGTTGGCGCTACAACGCGCGTGCGCATCGCAGCGCGCACCGCATAATGGTCGATTGAATCGGTCCACTTAGTTCTCGGACGGCCAATTTACTTGGGACCTTCCGGACGCAGATGGGAGGAGTTTGTGTGATGTGGGCGGACTCGGGAGGACTCGTACATTCCAGCGGCGCTCCGTTGTCCATAAGGATGATTTCCTATTGTTTTCCGTGGGATCCACCAGCGCTCCATTGTGTCAGAAAGATTTGTTCTAACATTATATATAAAACAGTGGTGCTGTGTTGCACACGGCTGCTGTGTTGCAAACAGGCGCCGTGGTGCACACAGGCACTGCAATGCACGCGGGCATTGTGGTGTACACTGGTGCTGTGTTGCACACGGCTGATGTGGTGTACGCAAGCGCTGTGGTGTGCATAGGCGGTGTGGTGTACACAAGCGCTGTGGTGCACGCAGGCACTCTGGTGTACACAGGCGTTGGGGTACAAATCGCCACCTAGGCGCTACCCGTCTCCCGTCACTCCTACGCATTGCCATACGCTGCCGGCGCGAAACGTAACGTCATCGACCCCCTCCACCACCCCCAATGATTGCCGTCATCGGTCCGGAATTACAAACAGGCTTCAGCCGCGTCCGCGCGCACGACGACTATGAGCGACGAGCGACAAGCCACGGGCAACGACGACGACGACGACGACGACGAATACGACGACGACTGCGGACCAGACTCCTATGCGGATTCCTACGCGGACACCTACGCGGATCCCAATGCGCACGGCGGCAGTGCCCGGAGCACCCTGGGGGGGGAGCGTTACGTCATAGGGGGGGGGGGAGGCGGGGGCCATGACGCCTGTCATGCCCCAAGCAATCAAGAAACGGTCTCACCGACAACGACACCAACCCGGTGCGGAGAATGCGCCCGGGCGGAACACGCGACGAGCCTGGCAGGCGGGAGCTGTCCGCGGTGAGGACGGCGGAGGACGCGGCCACGGCTACCCCGAAGCGGGAAGAGGGGGTGGAGGAACGGCAGCAGCGAAAAGCTGCAAGGACGGGAAGGGGCGCATGTCCGCATGGGGGCCTAGCGCCCCGCTTCTACGAGCTGGCCTCCTGAGCGACAGAGTCATTCGAGCCCTGACCCACGCACACACGCAAACACAGACACAGACACAAACATAAACACGCAGAAACACAACACAAAACACAGAAACACACACAAGCACAAGCACAAGCACAAGCACGAGCACAACTACAACCATCACCACAACCACAACCACAACAACAAACAAACACAGGCATACACACATACTTCATCCAGCGGCGATGTGGCGGCACCGTCGAGAGCACGAAGGCGGGGCACGCCTAGTCTAACTTCCACCCGACGTTGCAGACAAGGTCTGTATGAAAGCCAACACACCCACCCGCCAACCCCCACACACAGACACACACACACACACACTTGCCTGCTTGTTGGCGGTTGCGGCCTTGCGGGCAGCGTCGAGGCCGAGAAAGTCACCGCACGGGCGGGCGCACGCACGGGGGGTCGCTCAGAGCGTGAGGGACATACACAAACAAACAAACACACAACCACACACAAGCACACACAAAGACACACACACACAAACACAAAAACACACACTTCTTGATTCGCGGGTCGAGAGCGCACCTCTTCCGGTACAAAAACACACACAAACACAGACACGAACACAGACACGGACACAGATGCAGACACAGACACAGACACAGCCACCAACACACACACAACCACACACACACACTTTTGGGCGGTAGCGGCCCCGCGCGCGGGGACGAGACGGAGCCAAGCGGCCCCTCAAGCGGGATCACTTTAGAACATACGCACACACAGATACACACACACACACACACGCGCAGGCCCCTGAGGCCAGCCGTTGCCTGATCCTGGTTCCGATATGGCCCCCCGACCCTGCCCGCTCACTCCCCCCCCCTCCTTTCCCATCCTCTTTTCTCCCTCTCCCGCCTCCTCCTCCTCCTCTTCCTCCTCCTCCTCCAGCTCCTCCTCCCCCTCCTCCTCCTCGTCCTCCTCCGTCCTTCTCTCCGTCGTCTTCCTCCTCTTCCTCACCTTTCCGCTGGTTTTCCTTCATTATTCCCTCCTCCCTCCTCCAAAGCTTCCCTGCATCTCCCTCCTACCTCGTCCCTGGTCCTCCTTCGCCATCCTGCCCATCCTCCTCCCCCCCCCTCTTTTCTACTACCCCTCCTCCTCGTCTCCACATGTCCCCGTCTCACTGATCCCCCCCAGTCTCCTCATCATCACCCGTCTTCCCCCTACTCTCCAACTACCTCGATCCTCCTCCTGCTCCTCCTCCTCCTGTTGCTCTTCCTCCTCCTCCTCGTGCTCTTCCTGCTCCTCCTCCTCCTTCTGCTCCTCCTCCTCCTCCTGCTGGTTCATCATCTTTCCCTTCACTCTACTCATGATGGTTGTATTCCTCCCCCTGTCTTTCTTCGTTTCTCGTACCCCTCCCCTTATTTCTCCCTATCCTATGTCTCATCCCACATCCCCAGCCCCATTATGCTCATGCCATCGTTCGAAATCATTTTGCGTCGTGTCTTCTCGTCGACGTCAAGAAGATCAGGATCTCAGGGTTGCAAATATACTTACCCGAAGAAGCTGCAGAAATCAGCCGACCCTGTCGGCGTGTGTGAGGGGCTTGTCCGTTCGAGTCGTCCCTTCCGTCATTCGTTAGTCGTCGTCTCTGTCGTCCCCTTTTACTGCGGCCCTCATTTCCCTGTGCCAGTCGCTGATGTCTCCCTTTTCCTGGGCCCTCCCCTTCAAGGGCGCCAGCCAAAGCGAAATTGAGCAGCGTCGCAATTCAGTCGAAGGGAAGCCCCTTCCCTTTGATCCCTCCCGCGTCGGGAGGGGGGGAGTCCCAGCGGGGGTCCCGGGGGGGCTCGCGGGGGGGTACGACTCCCTCCCCCCCCCGCCCTCCCCCTTGGAGTCACGGGTCCCCAGAAAGCCCCAGGACGGGCCAAGAGTGCCAGAGAAGGCCCCGAAGACCGTCCAAGAGGCCCCGAATCGCCAAACGATATGTCCAAAACGCCTTGACGGCCTCCAGACGGCCCATGAGGCCTGCAAGACGCCCCAAGAGGCTTCCAGGAGCACTCGCAGGAAGGCTCCCAGAGGCAAACATCATACATGTCCCTTCGGTGTTTGGAAGATTTGGGCGTTCTCGTCTCCTCCGCTTCCCGACGCTCCAAGACGGCCCAAAAGGCCCCCAAGATCGCCCCAAGACAGGCCAAAGTCCACCAAGAGGTTCCCGAAATGGCCCAAGACAGACTCAAAACGGCCCGAGACGCCTCCAAGACATGCAAACGGCACCCAAGACGGCTCCAAGAGAGTGCCCAGACGGGGGACCCGAACGGACATCTCGAGCCCTCGCCCCCGAGAAGCTCTCAGGAGGCCCCAAGAGGCCTCCAAGACGCCCCCAAGACGCCCTCAGGAAGCTCCTGGAGGCCCCCAAGAGGCTTCCAAGAGGCCCTCCAAGAGTCTCCCCAAACGCCCCGAAAGTGCCCACCAGAGGCCCCCGAAAGCGCTCCGAAGAGACCCCGACAAGCATCCCTAGAACTCTGACCCAAGTCGACGTCGTCGTCGTCGTCGTCGTCGTCGCATGCTCTTCCTCCTTCTCCCCCTCCTGCTCCAACGCGCTCTCCTCCTCCTCCTCCTGCTCTTCTTCTTCTTCCTCCTCCTCCTCCTCCTCCTCCTCACCCTTTCCCTCCTCCTCCTCGTCCCCATCATTCGCCTCCTCATCATCCTCATCCTCTTGATCCTCCTCCTCATCATGCTCCCCCCCCTCCCCCGCGCGCTATCCTCCCAGTGCTTCGTAACCATACCTCGACCTCTTCCTCTCCCTCCTCCTCCTCCTCCTGCTCATGCCCCCCCTCCTCCCCCTCCTCCGCGTTTCCTTCTTCTCCTGCTCCTCCGACTCCCGTTATCCTCGTCCTCCTACTCCTCCTCATCCTCCGAGCCTCTTCCTGCTGCTCCACCGCGTTCTCCGCCTCCTCCTGTTCCTCCTCCCAATCCTCGTCGTCGTCCTCGTCGTCGTCTTCAGGGTCGGCGGCACCAGCCGTAAGGCCTTCACAGTATCGACCTTCTAAACGTCAAGTCAGCTATCACTTCTTTTCCTCCTGCTCCTCCTCATCCTCCTCCTTCCTGAGTTTCCCTCCTCCCCTCCTCCTCCTCCTCCTCCTCCTCTCCTCCTCCTCCTCCTCCTCCTCCTCCTCCTCCTCCTCCTCCTCCTCCAGCACACTCGCGCGCGCAATGGTCAGGGGAGCAGCCGTGCACAGCAGAGTTGCAGAGCTGGGACGCACGCCATCAGGTAGAGCGCAAGCTCCGACAACATTATGCGAGAAGCGAGAAGCAACATTAAAACCCGATGCCAGAACCTACAGCGCTAGCAAAGCTACAAGTGCAAAGAGTGGCCATGGGGAGCTCGTGCGAGAGACATCCGTGACACAGTGCAGGGAACAGGTCGTGCGTGCAGGTGCCCGTGAGACCGCAGCAGTTTCCTAGCTGCAGCGCGGGGATCGGGTCGTGCGAGGATCACGGCGGTGGCGGCAGGCTCTGTAGCCGCAGGGGGGACGGACGAGTAGGTCAGCTACAGCGCAAAGACCAGCTCGTGCGCACGCAAACGTTCACTCCTGTCAGGTCTGGCTCGGGGACGGCCCGAGTGTCTGGCAGGGGCGCCGGTAGCAAGCAGCGTGCGGCGTGTCACTCGTCGTTTTATCGCCCGAATCCGTCCGGCCCCTCCCTCTGCAGCTGCCCCTCGTCCCTCCTCTTCTTCCCACTCCTGCCTCGTCCCGGTCCTCCTCCTCGCCTTCCTCCCTCCCCCCTCCCTCCTTGGCTCCCCCCCTGGCCCAGGCTGAGTCGCGGCCTAGTCCTGTAGCTGGCGGGATCCGTCTGCGCTCGCCGCACACATCCTGCATCCCGGGGGAGGAGAGAGAGAGAGAGAGAGAGAGAGAGAATAAACAACAACAGAAGGACGAAAGAGAGAGAGAGGAGGAGGAGGAGGAGGAGGAGGAGGAGGAGGAGGAGGAGGAGGAGGCGGAGGCGGAGGAAGAGGAGGAGGAGCAGCAGCAGCAGGCGCCCAAGCCCCCCCCCCCCTCCACCCCACCGGCGGCGCGCCCAAGAGGGGGGGGCAGCCCTCTGACAACCAGGCGGCGGGGGGCCTCGGAAGGAAGGGGCCTCTGACGAGGCTCCTCGGGGCCCAGAGGCCTCGCACGAGGCTCCCTGGGGCCCGGGACGCCTTCGGGGAAGCCTCCGTGCCCTCTCGGGAGGCCGACCCCTCTCGCGCGCCCCCGCCTCGGCGGCGCCCGCCGCCGGCCCCGCCACCAAAGCGTCCCCGCGCGTCCGTCGAGCAGGCCCGCCGTGGGCTCCCAGAGAAGCTGGGGTGGCCAAACAAAAACTCCTCCCTCCTCCCTCCTCCCTCCTCCCTCCTCCCTCCTCCCTCCTCCCTCCTCCAGTTCCGTGGCGCGGTGAGCGCATTGGACGAGGAATCCAGGGCCTGGAAGCAAGTGGGAGCTCCCATCGTGGAGTGGACGTTGGCTATCGCCGCGCCGCCCTCATCGGACAAAGAACCCCCTCCAGGGTCTGAACCTCCTGGGCACATTCCTGAGCGACCGCCCCCACCGTATTGCTTAACGAAATACATGTGCACATCTGAGCGACGATCTCGAAAACGGGGCTGACGCGAGATGACGTAGTGGTCTTACGCGGCGGCTTACGCGGGCCGCCAGCGCGGCACGCTACCTTGGAGACGAGGGAGCTTACGCGCGAACTTACGCGGGCAGCTTACGCGTCAATGTCGGCGAAGACGACCCCGTTTTTTTTATGTAGCTCGTTTGCCGTCGATCGTTGAGATTCATGTGGTTTCCCAGGGCGTCTGCGGGTCTCCAGGGCCGCCAGGGGGATAACAAAGAAATTCGCCGGCCCAACGGGCCAGAGGCGTGCTAAGATCTCCGGTAACTGCTCAACAATATTTCTAGTTCGCGCGCGCGGGGCGGGCCCTGGGGGTCCCCGGACGAAAAGTACCCTGGCAAGGTCCCGGCAAGGTCCTGGCAAGGTCCCGGCAAGGTCCCGGCAAGGTCCCGGCAAGGTCCTGGCAAGGTCCCGGCAAGGTCCCGGCAAGGTCCCGGCAAGGTCCCGGCAAGGTCCCGGCAAAGTCCCGGCAAGCCCTCCAGACGGTCCAAGAGTGCCGGGAGACGCCGAAATATCACTCCCAAACGCCTGCGATGGCCTCAAGACGGCCCAACAGGCCTTCAAGACGCCCCAAGAGGTCCCTAAGCGGCGCCCCAAGAGGGCTCCCACAAGCAAAAATCGTCCCATTCCCTTAGGAAAGCGTGCATTTTTAACATATCCGCCTCTTCGTCTTTCACACCTTTCAAGGCGGTCCAAGAGGCCCCCAAGATCACCCCAAGACGGCCCGAGAGACCCGCCAGACCGCTCAAAGACGGCCCAACAGCGCTCCAAGAAGGCCCAAGAAACCCTCAAGACGGTCCAAGAGGCTCCAAGACGGCCCCATGATTGAGGTCCACAGGGGCAACCTGAACGGAAATTTTGAGCCTCCCGCTCAAACACGCCCCCGAAATGCCCCTACAAGCCCCCAAGTAGCCCCACGAAGCCCCCAAGAGAGCCCCCAGAGGCCCCCAACAGGCCGCAAGGAAGTCCCAAGAGGCCCCCAAGAGACCCCCAGGAAGCTCCCAGGAGGCCCCCAAGAGGCCAGGCAGACCCCCCCAAGAGACCACCAAGAGGGCCCACCCAGAGCCATCCACGAGGCCTCCCAAAGTTCCCAAGAAGCTCCCACGAAACTTCCAAAGGCCCCCAAGACCCCCCAAGACCCCGCGATGGCACAATACGGGCCGGCGGAATGAGCGAAGCGATTCAATTCCTCTGGGGCGCCTGCCGGCGGGCCAAATTCTATCATGATGACATGCCCCGGACCTCTCCTGGGCTGCGCTCTGACCAGAAGTTCGCAGAGCCGTGGCGGGCGATGGCTCTCTCCAGGGCCAGCAGCGACCTCCGCATCTCCCACTCCCGAAGCCGACGCTTTTAGCTAGCGTGGGCCCCAACCAATCATTTATCTTCTTGCACTGTGGATGTGTGTGCGCCATGTGGCGCGAGCTATTCTGGTGCAAGCTGCGTGGTGCAATAACTATACGAGGTGCAAGCTAGAGGCGCTGCGCAACGAAGCGGCAACGGGCCACGCCGTGGCGAAACCTCGCTGGCTTTACCCAGCGCGCGAGGCGGCAACGAAGCGGCAACGAAGAGGCAACGTGGCGAAACGTCACCACACCCGCGCAGCGCACGAGGCGGTAACGAGGAAACGTGGCGAAACCTCGCCAGACCCACTCGGCGCACGAGGCGGCAACGAGGCGGCACCGAGGCGGCACATCGAGGCGGCAACTGGCGGCAGCGAGGCGGCAACGAGGCGGAAACGTGGCGAAACCTCGCCGGACCCACTCGGCGCACGAGGCGGCAGCGAGGCGGCACCGAGGCGGCAACGGGCAGCACGTTGCTAAACCTCGCTGGACCCACCTAGCGCACGGAGCGGGGCGGCAGCTTGGCAAAACCTCGCCGGACCCACGCAGCGCACGGGGCGGCAACGAGAAGGCAACGAGCGGCAACGTGGTGAAACCTTGCCAGACCCACCTGGCGTACGAAGCAGCAACGAGGGGGCAACGGGCGGTAACGAGGCGAAACCTCGCTGGACCTACCCAGCGCACGAAGCGGCAGCGGCAACGAGAAGGCAACGAGGCGGAAACGTGGCGGAACCCCGCCAGAACCACGCAGCGCACGAGGCGGCATGGAGAGGGCAACGGGCGGCAGCGTGGCGGAATCCCGCCAGACCCACCCACCGCACGGGGCGGCAACGACGAGGCAACGGGCGGTAAGGATACCTCGCTGGACCCACTCAACGCACCGGGCGGCACAGAGGCGGCAACGGGCGGCAGCGTGGCGGAACCTCGCTGGACCCACCCGGCGCACGAGGCGGCACGGAAGCGGCAACGGGCGGCAGCGTGGCAGACCCTCGCCGGACCCACCCACCTCACGGGGCGGCAACGAGGCGGTAACGAAGCGGCAACAGGCGGCAACGGGCGGAAACTAGGCGACCACGAAGCGGCAACGTGGCAAAACCTCGCCAGACCCGCCCATCGCACGAGGCAGCCAACAGGCGGCAACGTGTTCCTTCCGAGATGGGGGCCGACTTGAGGCAATCTTTGTCCGAGCCGCGTGGCCGATAGCTCGGCGGAGCTCGGGGCAAACCCAGAACCGCCCCGAAGGCCCGCCTAGTGACTTGCCGCCAGAGCACTACCATGATTCTGAACGCCGTTTTGCTTCCGCCGACTTCCGCTGGCTCTCCGCCGCCTTCCGCCGACGAAGAAACGTCAAATTCCCTATTCTCAGGTCGGGCATGTCCTCCTACAGGCGGATCTTGGACGAAAAATGAAACATAGTCAAAACATGCTCGAAGATAGTGAACAAAATAATCGAAAAATCGTCCCCAGACTATGTTTTGACTATTTTTGAATATTCCTCCTGTAGAGGGACAGTCCCAACTTAACCCTATTCCTCGAGGACGAGGACTTTCCTGGAGCGCCCAGTGTCAATGTGTGTGTGTGTGTGCGTGTGTGTGTGTGTGTGTGTGTGTGTGTGTATGTGTGTGTGTGTCTGTGGGTGTGTGTGCGAAGCACTCGAGGAACGGGAGGGGGGGCGATGACGGCCAGCTCCCCGTGCGGGCGGGTCCTCCGTCCAGCGAGAGGAGGTGCTCGTTGGACTTCTCGAGGTGGACGCGGAGCACCGACACCTCGAGAGGGGTGAGGAGGAGGAGGAGGAGGAGGAGGAGGAGGAGGAGGAGGAGGAGGAGAGGAGGAGAAGGAGGAGGAGGAGGAGGAGGAGGCGGATGAGGCGGAGGAGGACAAGGACGAAGAGGAGGAAGAGGACGAGGAGGACGAGGATGAGGAAAAGAGTAAGGGGAGGGAGACCGAGGGCAAGGTGTTTGGTGGCTCGAGCCGCAGACATGATCGAACTAGAAACGAGCAGCGTGATCAAAAAAGACAGGTCATTCAAACAGTCTTGGCTTCGGCCTGCTCCTCTTTACGCTTGGTGGCGCCTGGCAACAAGCAAACGCTTCCGCAATCGACCCAACTGCTGCCTACCATCGAGCCCGGGCACACGCGCACACTCCCGCCTTGCGGCGCGATGCGGCCATGGCCGAAGCGCTCCGTGCCACCCCGTGGTCGTTTCTTAGCCGAGTGTGTGGCAGCTGTGAAGTTTCCCTGCCGTTTGAGGCGGCAAGGGGTCTGAACTGGAAGGTTCTCGAGAAAATCGGTCAAGTTGCAGGAACCCAATAAAATCCGCTCAGGATCAGTCCCAGGATCCCTCCGGGGGTCCTTCCAGCGCAGGTGTCCCACCCCGGACCCGCTCTGACGGCCACGAGACCGCGAACCTCGCCCCCCATTCCTGCCCGCCAGAACCAATGCTGGGCCACCTCAGACCCCCATGGCTGGCTCCAACCTGACCGTCAGAGCGGCTTTTCTGCGACACCGTCACAGCTCCATGCACGAGCCTCGCGTTGCAGGACTACTGCAATTCAGCACAGCCTCCGCCCGAGACTCTGTCGGCGAAATGACCTGCAATGTAGAAGAGAAGGGGAGGAGAAATCCTCCGAAGCTGACCTCGTGGCTCCGCATCTTTTGGTGACCCTCAGCCTGGGCCATGACATATCCATGGTGATGACAAGCTGCGGATATGATGTGGTGCCGATCGTCGACTTCAGGGTGAAATGTGACCCAGTGCTGCACAGTCATACTCCCGATCCGCTATGTGTCAGCATTGCAGCGTGCCTGAAACGAAACTCGACGGAAACCACATCCAACACCGCGCCCACACCGCGTGCATGCGCTGAGCTGGGTGCGGCCAATCCTGCATGTTATCAGAGGTACGACTGGGGAAACCAACAGGTACCGATACCGCTACTCCCCGGATCTCTCCTGGGGTGCGTTCTGACCAGGATTTCGAGGCGAATCCAGCGGTGGCGACGACGGAGGCCCAGGAGGCCCCAAAAGGGGAAAACGAGGGGAGAGCAGAAGTATGGGTGCCTTTTCCTCTTCTGAGCAGCTGCTTCCTCTGGCGGCCGCTCAGGATGACTCCCGGCTCGTTCTTGCACTTGTCGGCTGTGAGCAACTTGCTAGCGGGAACCGCGAAGAGCTGGAGCGAGCCCAAACCACACTGATTTCGTGAGTTGTGGCCGCACTGGCTCCTAGCGGTCGGCCCTCGCTTGCAGCCAAGGCCTCGGAAGTAGCTGCTAAAACTGACCTTGCTTCGGACAAAACAACCTCACGAACTCGAAAGTCTACCCTGCCAGATCTCTCCCAAGTCGAAGGCCCCCAGGGACTCCAACCCAAATCGAGCAGGGCGGCGACGGTCGCAGGCAGAGGGGGCGCCAAGCCCTATGAAAACGATGGCCCTCGGACGCGCCCGTGCCTCCCCCAGGGACTTGAGCCAGACGCGGCGGGACCGTGCATGCACTAAAAGATCCCGTCTTCGCTCTCCAAAACATCCGACGCCGTGCTTTTTTCCAATGCGAGGACCCTGGGAGTCCCTTCCCCTTCCCCAGGGCCGACTCTTCATCCTGGGCTGTTTTGTTGGCGATCCCGGGGCCCAGCGAGGGTCCCAGATCGCCGAACATGTCGAAAACCCTTCGTACTGATCTTGCTCAATACGCTGGATCGTTGGTCCCCACGGAACGGGATAGGATCTGGAGGGTGCACGTCTCGCCGCGTCCGCCATCGCCGCCGCACGGAGCCCTGGGCGCTCCCCACGCTTCGCGCCCACCGGTGCAGGAGAGCCCAGAATCGAATCCACAAGTCGGGCCGGCCATCGAGATGGATCGGATCGGCGGAAGTCGGCAGCCGAGTCGGGAAGCGTCAAATCTTCGGAAATCGGCAGGCTAGCATGCCCCCATAAGGAATCGGACCCCAAGTCGGAAACCCAGGGCGAATCGAATCGGAATCGGAAGCCATCGAAACCGAAGCGAATCAAACCGGAGGAAGCGAAACGGGCCCTGCCAGTGGCCCCGGCGGCCGCACGCCCCGGGCCGTCGCCGCCGAGGAGGAGGAGGAGCAGAAGGAGGAGGAGGAGCAGGAGGAGGAGGAGGAGGAGGAGGAGCAGGAGGAGGAGAAGGAGGAGGAGGAGGAGGAGGAAGGGAAGGGCGTGGAGGGAGAGTGGTGAGAAGGAAGGCTGGGACAGAGGGCACGGAGGAAGGGTGGAGGAGGGAAATGAGGGTAAGCAGTGGTGTGATGGGGTGGGTGGAAAGGGGGAGGCGAAGGAGGGAAAGGATGGACAGGAGGGCGGGAAGGGCAAGTGGGAGGAAGGCGGGCGAGGAGGGAGAGGATGGGGGGAGGCCATGATGGGGGAGGGGCGGAGAGGGAGGACAATGATGAGGGAGGATCCGCTGCTCGGCTCGACCAACTCGGCCCCGTGCTTGCGCCGAGCGGGCCGTGGTTCTCGAGCACGATTGGCATGGCCCTCCGATGGTAGACTTAGGGCGGGCATGTCCTCCTACAGGCGGATTCTGGAAGAAAAATGAAAAATTGTCAAGAGATATTCTAAAATGGCCAAGAATCGCGGACAAATCGCCCCCATACTGTTTTTGGGCTGATTTTGGATACGCCTCCTGTGGAGGGACAGGCCCGACTCAATGGTAGATGGTGTCTGCGATGTCTTTTGGGGAAGGCTTTCTCTGTCTTGTTCGGGGAAGGCTTAGAACAGTTATCGGAAGGCCAGGGGACTTCCGAACCTTCTGAGAAGCCTTCTCCTTCTCACTCCCCCCCCTCGCTCGCCGCCGATCTGACCAGAACTTCGAAGCGAATCCAGCAGTGGCGACGAGGGCCTCCGAGGAGGCCCAACACAAGGACAAGCGAGGGACAAGTAGCGGCATGGGTACCCTTTCCTCCTCTGAGCTCTCTTCTCGCGATGTCTCAGGGCCCCGTAGACCCGGACACGCTAGACCTAGACACCCAACATCCCTCGAAACCAATTTTTCCAAACAGCGGCACGAACAAAATACTGCACTGAAACATTTTCAGAATTAACCCGGACACAGGCCTCAAAAGCCTGCAAGACCCCCCTAAACCCGGACACAATCCCGAACCCTGCAGCGCAGCAAACAGAACATGCACGGGTGCTGAAAAACGTAACTTTGCAGGAAAGGAGGTCCTTTCCTTGGTTTTCCGTGTCCTGCTTTAATCTGTGTCCTGGTCTCCGGGGGCCTGAATGTCGCCTCTCGCACCCTGGCCGCGCCGAACGCCCCGGCGCGATCGCTTCCCGACCGGCCGAGGCCACCACTGGCCGCGTCGCTCTGCCGGCGGTGGTGCCGGCCGGGGGGCGGGCGCGAGTCCGGAGGCCGCGCCTCGCCCGTGGCGGCAGCGCCGAGGCTGGCTGCGGCGTGCAAGAGTCAGGTCGGGCACGTCCCCCTGCAGGCGGCTCGTGGACGAAAAGTAACACACACCCCAAAAACATACAAGATGGGCCAACATGGCATGCCCCCCCCCCCAAAGAAAGTCCCCGGACTATGTTTGACTATCTTTGAATTCTCTCCTCCTCTAGAGCGACGTGCCCGGCTGAATGCAAGAGATGCAGAGCGATCTTTTTCGGGCGCCAGCCGGGGTCTCTGCGTGCGCCGGGCAAGCGGGCATGCGTCCATGGCCACCACGCCCTGCGGTGGTTTGAAGAGGGCGTTCCTCCTAGGAGTTCTGGGGATGACCGCAGTGGCAATCGCCGCAGCGGCGAGTGGCCAGCCGAGGTGGTGACCTGTGGAGCCCTCAGATAGGGGGGAAGTGGGAGAGCTTTCGCTACTTCGGGGAGAAGAGAGAGGTGGGGGAGGAGAAGGGGGAGGTAGAGGGGGGAGAGGAGCAGGAGGAGGACAAAGAGGAGGATGAAGAGGAGCGATCCCAAACCAACCTCTTTCTGGAGGCGGCCGCACTCGTCCTTGAAGCGCGCGATCTCGTTCTCGTGATGCTGCAGCAGGTGCTCCTGTGGCCAACTGAGGACAAAGCCCCACACCCCATGCCCCCTGCCAAAGGCATGCAGCTCCTCTTCCTCCTGCTGTTGACGGGGCTCGGACATAAGCTATACAGCTGAGGCGCCTCTGCGAGGCGCTGGAACGGGTATCGGATTTAGGCGGCGTGGCCTCGGTGATATCAGAAGCTAGGCAGGCGGCATGGCCTCGGTAGCGTCAAAAGCCTGCAGCATAAGTCATCAATAACTGCTCCCCTTCCCCCTCCTCCTCCTCCTCCTCCTCCTCCTCCTCCTCGTCCTCCTCGTCGTCCTCCTCCTCCATCTCCATCTCCTCCTCCTCCTCCTCCTTCTCCTCCTCTTCCTCCTCATCCTCCTCCTCCTCCTCCTCCTCAAGTGAAGCCAGCCGCGGGCGTGGCGCGCCCAGAGCCAGACCCCGTCAGCTGCACCCATCACCCTTGACCCCCGAGATCCCCTCAGAGCCACCCAAAATTCACGGCACTACACCCACCTGCCCAACCCAACCCCTCCTAGAGATCCCAAACAACAGAAGCAGACTCCCCTCCTCCTCCTCAACGTCCTACTCATCGTCACTGTCACCATCCCCATCAACAACGTCGTTAGCGCCATCGCAATCGGCATCGTCACCGTCATCACCATCACAATCTCCACCATCACGAACGTAATCCGTAAATGTTCGTCGTCGTTCCCGTCGTCATCATCCTCGCCATCATGGTCACCACCACCACAATTATTAGCACCACCATCACAATCACCCCCACCACCATCACCACCACCGCGACCCTCATCATCACCAGCATCATCACCGTCATCAAAGACACCACGATCATCAACAACATCACCACCACCATCATCAGCATCATCGTCGTCATCAGCAACATAATCAGCATTAGCATCATCATCACCATCATCAGCATCATCATAAGCATCATCATAAGCATCATCATCGTCATCATCAGCATCAGCATCATCACGATCATCACCATCGTCGTCGTCGACGTTGTCGTCGCCATCAGCAGCATCATCAGCCGCAGCAGCAGCAGTGTCATCAACAGCATCCGCATCAACATCAGAGTCAGCATCAGCATCAACATCATCACCACCATCAACATCATCATCATCACCATCTTCCTCCTCATCATCATCATTACAACCGCCACCATAATCATCATCATCATCATCATCATCATCATCATCACCATCTGGCCAACGCCATCATCTCCATCATCAACATAATCGTCGTCGTTGGTGTCGACATCAACGTCACCAGCATCAACATCAACATTAACATCCAAACCAACATCATCATCATCACCCTCACCATCATCATCGCCATCATCACTATCATCATCGTCAGCATCATCACAATCATCATCGCTGTTATCGCCGTTGCTGGCATCGTCACGGCATGCGCTACCGTCATCCTCATCGCCGTCGCCCTCACAAAGGGTCATCATCGGAGGCAGGGCGCGAGGGACAGCATGCCTTTCCTTGCGTTGCCTCCTCCCCCCCGTTTTGCCGCTTGACACCCTGCCCTTAGGTCGGGCATGTCCTCCTACAGGATATTGTTTGACGAACAATCAAACATAGTAAAACAAGATTTCCCAAATGATTTAACATAATAAAAAATAGCCCCCTGACTATGTTTCGGCAATGTTCGGGCATCCCTCCTGTAGAGGGACGTGCCCGACTTGACCCTACCCCGCACCCACCGCCCTTGCAACCTGCTGCCCTCGCTCCTCGATCCTCCTCCTGCGGTCGATGGCCCACCTCCGCACCCAGGCACCCCCCCGCCGATGCCCACGGGCGCGACGAGATCGATCACGAGCCCCCTCGTGCTGGGTCGGGGGCGCGCTCGCCCGGGCCAGCGCTGCTCCTCCTTCCTGCCCTCACATCCTCCGATCTGACCTGCCAGTGAGTGGCCCCAGAGGTCCCGATCTCTTCCCCAGGAGCAGGGTACGTTCTCCTCCCGGGCTTGAGGGCCCTTGGGCCGATAACGTGCCCCCGCGGCGGCCGAACTGATAAAACAAAAAAAACAAATCGTCGGACACCAGGCCCCCCTCTTCGTCCTGGGAAGGCCCCCGCTCCCCTGGCCTCCCGCCCGCCCGATCCTTCAGCCCGGAGAACCCGTCCGACAACGCCGCGGCGAAGCCCGGCTGCTGCTGGGGCGCCGCATCCATGGCAAGATGGCCGCCGCCCTTCCGGGAGAGGGGGGGGGCGCGAGGGGAGAGGGGGGGGTGGGGCAGGGAGAGGGGCTAGGGGGAGGGGGAGGGGGGGGAGGAGAAGGGGGAAGGGCGCGGAGGAGGGAGGGGCAGGGGAAGGGCCAGGAGAAGGAGGAGGAGGGAGAGGGAGGACGAGGTGAACGAGGACGGGGGGGGGATGAGGAAGCCTCGGGCCCGAACAGTTCGGGGTGGCAGTGCGACGCCCTCAGGTGGGCATCCGCGGACATGAGATCGCGTACTCAAGTTCATCCTTTTCTTCGAGGCCACGGCTGTATATGGTTCCCCCTCATCTTCCCTTCGTCCGCCATACGCATCACACATGGACACATGTATCGTAAAAACAGCTAATCGCCTGTTTTACGCGGCCAGGACCATAACGTCAATCTCAATGTACGATATTAGCATGTATTATAGCATTTCCACGACATCGCGCGGCCTGTCAAAAGAGCGATCACGCAGCGATAACGCTCTTGAACAAACATGCGCATGATGCCACATCTTGCGATTAGAGACATCAGCTACCTGTGTTGTATTTCCTACCACACTCGTCCTCCCTTCCACAATGAAATCTTGTACAGCCTCCGCCGCCAAACATCCACAACAAATTATCACTTTCGCCTCGCAGGACCCTCCTAGTTAGTTTACGCTCGAAGTTCACCGTGCTGGAAACCAAAGCAATTCTGAACCAAATCTGTGGTGGGAAAGGGTTACCGCGCTTCTGTCTACGGGCCCCACCCCAAAATCTCTAACGACAGACTCACCGACTCCTCATGAAGGCACTGCGCTTGCGCACAGTCCGTCCAAGGACATTGAATTAAACGCTTCGCACAGCATAGCACTTCGGATTAGATCACGCACCCTCGCTATATTTCAATTCACGCAATTGTTTCTCCTGTCATTCCTGATTCAGATGATTCTGTACCAAACCTCCCTACCCTAGTAACTAGTGGATATCAATCGGGCGAGGGGTGTGAAAAGGGTTACCGCGCTTCCGCCTACTGTCCCTACCCCCGACACTCAGAACAGGGTAAGTTTCAAAGTGGACGGTCAGTCATGTTGGTGCGGTGGGAGAAATCGTTGAATGGACTAGCAACTAGAAAATACATTGGGCGCCTGGGATTGTGCATCAAACCTGTGGGCATTTCATACGGACAGCGTTGCACTCAACAACAACAGACCTCAAGTTTGAGTTCAGTTTTCTACTAAACCAGATTTGGCTTCAGCATTCTGGCGGACAGCAGTTCGGCTTGACTATCACGACGACCTCGTACCCCATCACGCATTCGACCACATTTGGAAGCATGGGAACAATGATGGAGACATTGAGGGCCTCTTAGCAGTTGCCGCTGACGACTTACAGGAAATCGATAATGTATACTACGCCATCGTGCGTACTTGACTGTTTCTACACTTGTTACATTGATATTTCACCTTCAAGGCTCCACTATCATTGTATACTTCATTGTTGACCCTGCCATACAGCATCCCTCTCAACCACATAAAGCCCACAAGGCACAAATTCCCCCCTCCGCCGCTTCCACTCCAGCACGAGCGGCCAGCCAGAGGCACTGTGATGATGCTGCTGATGATGATGATGATGATGATGATGATGATGATGATGATGATGATGATGATGGTGATGGTGCTGGTGGTGATGGTGCTGGTGATGGTGATGGTGAGGAGGATGATGCTGATGAGGATGAGGAAGATGAAGATGATGATGATAATAATGGTAAGGATGGTGATCGTGATGGTAATGGTGATGATGATGCTGCTGATGATTAGGATGATGATGGGTGGAGTAGGTGGGCGCCGGAGCTGGGCAGCCAGTGCGGCCAGCAGGACTCACCCAACAAGGTGGCTCTCTCTAGACGTTGGCCCTCGCCATCCGCCGCTTCCCTTCGCTTCCTCCCCTCCCCGCTGTGGTCAGGGGTCCTCGCTGGTGTCCTGGCTCCTCGGCTCTCCTCTCCTCTTCTCTCCTCGGCTCGCCGCGCACACGAAGAGACAGGATATCCTAGTTGACAATGAGCCAGGAGACTATTTCCCATCCATCCTGTGGTGGCGGGTTCTCGTTTTGAAGAGACAGCGCCCCGCGTCCCTTCTCCCGCTGCTCCCTCCCTACTCCTCCTCCTCCTCCTCCTGCTCCTCCTCCTGCTCCTCCTTCTCCTCCTCCTCCTTCTCCTCCTCCCTCCTCCCCTTCCTCCTCCTCTCATCATCATCATCATCATCATCATCATCATCATCAGCAGCAGCAGCAGCAGCAGCAGTACCATCATCGTCGTCATCATCATCAACATCGTCATCATTATCATCACCATCGTCATTATCATCAGCATCATCATCATCATTATCATCATCAGCAGCATTGTCGTCGTCGGCATCATCGTCTTCGTCATCGTCGTCATCATCCTCATCATCAGCAGCAGCAGCAGCATCCGCAGCATCACCAGCATCATCACCAGCACCATCACCAGGACCATCACCATCACCATAACCATCACCATCATCACCATCATCAGCATCATCATCGGCATCGTCAGCATCAGCACCACCACCATAATGATCATCATCAACAACATCATCAACAGCAACAGCAACAACATCGGCATCATCATCAGCATCAGCATCATCATCACCATCAGCATCGTCATCGTCACCACCATCACCATCATCATCAGCATCATCAGCATCACCATCGCCATCATCATCAGCATCAGCATCAGCATCAGCACCATCATCAACACCATCGTTATCATTACCACCACCATCATGATCATCATCATCAGCATCATCATCATCAGCAACATCATCATAATTGTCAACATCGTCAGCATCGTCATCGTCGTAATCATCATCATCGTCATCACCATCACCATGGCTGCCATCATCACCAAGACCGTCATCAGCTTCGGCACACCCTTCACACGTTTCGTGGCCCCACAAGGAGCTCCACCCAAGGTCCCAATTGCGCAGCCCGCAAGTGGGCGTCACCCCCGCTTTGGCACACCCCTCACGTTTCGGGTCCTCGCAGGGAGCTAGTAGCGCAGCTCGCATGTGGGCCTCAACCTAGATTCGGCACACCCCTTACACGCTTCGTGGCCCCACAGGGAGCTCCACCTGGGGCCTCAGTGGCGCAGCCCGCATGTGGGCGGCACCTCCGTTTCGGCACACCCCTCACACGTTTCGTGGCGCCACACGGAGCTCCAACTAAGGCCCCACTGGCGCAACCCGCATGTGGGCGTCACTCCCGTTTCGGCACGCCGCTCACACCGTTCGGGACCTCATAAAGGGGCTCTACCTCAGGCCCCAATGGCAGCGCCCACATGGCGCCCCGCCCAATTTCGGCACGCCTTGACACGCTTCGTGGCGATGTCATGTCCACAGCGACGGTACTCAAACCTGCATGACAGAGGCCTTCATCGGGATAAGGTTTTATTGTTGTCTATGCGTTTTGCACGCTGCCAACGGCCACCTCACAAACAATGTCAAACACACTACTCCTTACTCTCAATTGAACTCTGTTTACTCGCTGGGTTGGCGTCTTACCCCACCACGCGCGCCAGCCGCACCATCGGTCTGCGGCCGCGGCTGTATCGCAGCCGACGCATCTTGGGACTGTCGCTCTCCACTGTCCCTCTTCTGTTCATATTGCCATGACTTGCGGTGCCCCAAGTTCCCCGCCTCCCTTCTCCAGCTCAACAAGCCTACAAGTGGCAGAACTCACCAGGGGTGTCCACACAACCACTTTAATCATCCGACTTCGCTAGGCGCACCGCGCGAGCCAGCTGCGCCGACGGCCAGCCGCCGCACTTCCGACGCAGCCCTGCACGTCACTCACGATGCAACCTCCTTTTCCCTCCTTGATCTGTCATGCCCTCCCTCTCCCCGACCACGGCCTCAAGGGCGGAGCCTGTTCCTCTTGCAGTTCGCGTCAGCGGTCAGTCGCGTTAGCGGTGTTGCCCCGAGCTGCTTGACGCGCACTAGGCCACCCACTCTCCTCCTGTTTCGTTTGCCCGTCGTTTTCCCTACGCCTCTGCCTTCCCCGCATGCTCTTTGCACTGTGCGCTGCAAGCCCCACTAGCTTTAAGCCTGGCCAACAACAAGGGGGTGGATAAGGGATGGCAGAAGGAGGGGGAGGTGGGGAGGTGGGGCCGGGCGGTTGTGGGGCACCCTTGCCGCTGAGCATTTCTCTGTGCCCAGGCGGGAGTCTCTTCCTGTCTGGTGTTCGTGTTCGCCGTTCTATTTCCCATCGGGCACGCGCTGGCTTTACAGATTTTGAGGTGATCAAGCGATGCGTTTCGATAAGCTGTTTCTCGGATCGTGGCCATCAAGACGCGACGGCTCAGGCAAGCCAACGTCAGTCCAACGCAGAAAAGACGATGAGGAGGTGGTGGAGGATGAGGATGAGAAGGTTGAGGAAGGGGTCTGGGAGGATGAGGAGCAGGAGGAGGATGATGATGATGAGGAGGAGGAGGAGGAGGAGGAGGGGGAGGGGGAGGAGGAGGAGGAGGAGGAGGAGGAGGAGGAGGAGGAGGAGGAGGAGGAGGAGGAGAGGGAGAAAAAATGACGGGGAGAAGGTTTGGTTTGGGCTCGGGTAAGAAACGCGCCCCTACCCCAATCGGCGAACAGAGATCAAGGATCAAAGCAGTGCGCGCAGACGACGCTTTGCTGCGAGCGGGCAACAGCATGTCAATCTCATTTCCCAAACAGCTTGCTGAACGGGGTGCTGTTGTGATAGAAGCTAACTCCGGCCGAGGGAAGCCGGAGCAGAGACATCCTCACAAAAATTTGATGGTCCAGGCCGTTTCGCTTGAGACATTCTCACAACTCTCGTTTCTGAGTTGGCCGGGATTGGCCGTTTCGCCTGAGACATCCTCGAAAAGTTGCGCTCCGGGACGCCGCGCGAGAGGTGGTCTAGCCCGTTTTGCCTGAGACATCCTCGAAACTCTGAGCCCCGA